ATAATATAACATTTTATAAAGATAATAATTAAGTATTCTGTTTGAACTCAATGATTATCCTAATTATATTTTAGATTTTTTATATTTAAAATGAAATGTTTATTCTGTATTTGATTATGTTTATCTGCAATTAGTTACACGAATTTAGATATGGAGCTTTAATAATTTGTACTTACGCAAAATCTACTTGTAATCTTGAGTTTTAAGTAATATGCATTAATAAACAGTACTTTACGCATAATAAGTGGTTTTTAAAAGTTTTTGTCAAATGCTTTATAATATAGTATAGATATTATATTAATAAAAATTGATTTTAATTATATTATAAAATATTGTGACGACTAAATTTTCAAATGTTCTTTTTGGTCATTTTATATGTTTATCAGCTAGTTTTTGTCGAACATGATTTATTTATCAGTTAGTTCGTCATACATAACCTTAATAGAATAAATTATATCAAAGGTGGAAATCAATGAACCATCTATCGTCCTAAAAAAATAAGAGCTCATGAGTTCAACTTCACTTGATGCTATCATACCATCATCACATATTTTGATTTTCGTTCAAATGCATATTGCCATATCATTTTATTTTAATAAATGTTTGTGGGTGGCTGACAAACGTTTGGGAGGTGTATAACAACTATTTGTCATGTCAAAATGGTAAGTTTCACTTTCTTGTTTTAAAAAATCAAGTCCAGCTACATCGAAAAATCTCCCACAACCGACAAAGTATAGAAATTTGCTCCGTAACTTTGGATTTGCCAAGGACAAAAATATCCATGTGGAGTACTTCCAATACTACATTTTTGTCAAAAATTATTGCATTTTATATTATCTGTCCTAATTACTTTTTCTTTGGTATTTCCACCGATGACAACTTGTCTACAGCCACATTGATCATATGTGGAGATTAGGTTTCTATTTCCAGTCATTGATGTGTGCATTCGCTATCAAGTATCCAAACAATTAAGATATTCCATGTCATGTATTTATTTTTCTATAAACACTTGTTTATGGTTACCCAATCTTTCATGTGTATCTGATGTTAACCTAATATACTAGTAGTATAACATAAGACAACAAATGACATCAAGTAATACATGCAAAACATGAAATAAAAGTCTCAAAAGTTGCTATGACTCCATTGCATAAGACAGAAATAGCTTTTAGAGAACAATAGCGGATCTACAAATTTTGGTAACGGGTCTTGGAATTCGAATTTATAAGTTTTTGGAAGTTAAAAAGAAGAAATATATTAAAACAGATAAAAGTTACACTTTTATCATTTGGTGCCTTTCTGGAATACCGAT